TAATAAACTTTATTTTAATGTAAAAATAAAAATTATTTCTTATTAAAATTATAAATTTTTATATAGAGAGAAAATTTCAACTTTCACTATATTTTATTAGTAAATTTAGCCCCTGAGTCATTACTTTTGGTTGTCACTGTATATAATTTAGAATATTAATAAAAAATAAAGAAATATATATAAAATAATTAAAAATATAATATAAATAATAATAAAGTAATTAATATTATAATAAGATAAATCAGATAAATAAATAATTAAAAATAAAAAGAAACTATATAAATAAATAATTAATAATTATAATATGATAAAGATAAGAAATTGATAAAGAAAAATAAAGAAAAATTAGAAAATATGATGAATTCAAAAAATAATAAAATAAAGTAATATTATTGAGATTACAGAATGAAGATAATAGATAAACTGGTAATAATATAAAGAAATAATTATTTATATTATATTTATTATATATATATATATATATATATATATATTTTATATGAATTATTTTTAATATAATCAGATCTTTTTAAATGTTTTCTTATAATATTATAATATCAAAAAGTTGGTTGCATTTAAAGAGGTCTGACTGTAAAATGGTTCATCGCACTGGTCCGGATAATATCACGTGATTAATTCTGTTTCGAAACGCGAATCTTGTGTCATACCTCGTGAGTCATGACACATGACGTCGAAATGTTAAGTTGTATCAACGTGCAACTTTTTGTCAGTTTGCTGCTATGGAAGATTTTCGTCATCCTCTCGAAGAGAGATTAAAAGTCGATGCAGAATTTTCAAAAACAAGACTAAAAGCTGGGGTATATTTACATTTCATTGTTATTATCTTTTTATCTTTACATATAAAGACTAAACAATAATTTCTTGAAGAGTCCAACAGGCAGCCTTCAAAACCGTATAGATGACTTGGAAAATAAGAATTTCACTCTAGAAGAAGAGGTAGTTAGATTATAGAGAAGAGAGCTTCACTTCTGTTTCACTTACTCATACACGCGTCAGTTTATCCTTAATCAATCTGTTTTTGTCGCTATATTAGGTCAAAGACCTTCGAATACAATTAACAGGGCGGCAAAATGACTTGGCAAAAATACAAGAACTTTTAAATAAAAGAACAGGTATACATGATTTTTGTTATACATGCGCTTTTTTATATTATTCTTATGCTTACAATATTTTTTTATTAGCTGAACATGAAGAGAAAATGAAGAAAATGCGTGGTATTTTAAATTGTTCTATATTGACGCAGCAAATTATTAAAAAATTTCCATTTAATTCAAAAAAAAATTAATATCCATAGGCATTCTCAACTCCGCTAAGAAAAATGTGGATGACCTGCGTCAAACAGTGACTGCAAAAGACGCAGAAATTGTCGAATTGAAAGAATCCCTTGAGATGCTAAAAGAAAAAGATCAACAGACAAAAGTTACTATGGATGAAATTGAAAGTATGTATACTTTTTTGGTGGTGCTTTATAGTTTTCCAACAAAAATGATACGTACTTCAAATAATCTATGCATTACCCTCTTCTCGATCTGCTTATAAGGTTGATTTGGCATAATTGATTGTTCCTTAATTCGAAGTTTTCTTCCTGTATAGTTTAGGTTTTTTATATATTAGATGATTATGTGCAAATTTCATCCTGGAATAATTACTCATATTGTTTTTCTTGGTGAACATAACATTATCTTTATTATAGAATCAGCCAGTCGTCTCACAACCGAGATGCTGAGTCAGGCAGCGATGTATACAGCACAAATCGAACAACTGGTAAACAAGTCTTTGGAGCAGATCAACATTTTTATTTGTTTGCGTTTTTCTTTTCTTTTTTTTTCTTACAATCAATTATTAATTAATAAAGGAATCTCGATTACGACTAGCAAATCAGCAAGCCCTTGAAGTAAAAGCAGAGTTTCAGCAATACAAACAACGAGCTCATGCATTACTTCAAGAAAAGAATGCAAATAGTAATACTAGTGCGCAAGCTAATAATAACAGTAGCAGCAGTAGCGGCATCGGTAATAATAGCCTTAGTAATAGTAATATCGTGAGTAATGCCAAAACATTGGAATTAGCTGAATCGTCAAAGAAAATGGAAACTGAAATTAGGTTTGATATATTTATTTACACTATTAATGTTATTCTGAAATATTTGCAATATCTGATTTTTTGTCATTATCAATTTCTAAAGGCATCAATCCGCTGAACTAAAACTTGCAAATGACAAATTACGAGCCACCACCAAAGATCTGGAACGGGCATTATCACGAAACGCGGAACTCGAAAAAGAACTGCGAAAATCACAATTAGACGCGCTGGGGAATGTCGAAGCTGTAAAAGAAGCACAAAACTCTCTGCGTGTTGCTCAGACGGAGATTCAGAATCTAAAAGAAGGTGACAAGAAAGTTTCTTTTATTAAACGAAGATATCAAACAGATGAAAACATTTATTAAATATATAAAGATTTTGTTTTTGCAATATATAAATATTGACATAGAACTGCAAACAATAAATACACGTCACGAGACTGCTATGTTGGAACTTCGAAATCAGTTGGTCAATTCTACGAATACTATCCATAATAATCTTGCCAAAAAGCAAGAGGAGAACGAAGAGCTACAGCGAATATCAGAGGTATATATTATATGTGATTATTTATCATTTCATTTTTTAGGTCAAATCTAATTACGTGTGTATATAAAATAAAAGAATTTAAGTGAAGAGTTATCGCAAGTTCGCGCGCAGCTACTAGAACGTACTAAAGAACTTGAGGGACTACAGAAACAACTCGATGGGAAATCAAATACCTTTCGGAGCAGGAATACAGCACAATCGAAGGACTTAATGGATAATGATGTAAAATTAAAAGATGCTCGATTAGAAACTGGCAATAATAGCCAAATTAATTCTGCTCGGACTGTATTGCTAGAAGGTCGACAGCACAGTGAGTATCGTGACCTTTTTAGCGAAACTCAACGGATATATGATCTTTTGTTATTGATTCTTTATTGATGATGGACTTTTTAGCCACTTTATCGGATCTATTGGTTGATGTCGATAACAGTAAAAGATTAAAAGACAAGGCTCCAATAACCGCGTTATCATTGGATAGAGAGAAGGAGTTCACGTTCAAACTACAACATATGGCTGAACTGTTAAATGAAAGTGAAGCTCAAGTGAAAAGGCTTGAAGAACAAGAAAAGGTTATTTATATTCCAAATGATACGAACAAAAGTTCAATTTTAATAATAATATTATTATTTTTGAAAGGTTCTAAAAGAAGAAATTCGAAAAATGGATCGTCTCGAAAAGCGACAAGACTTGAGTGTCGAATATTTAAAAAATGTCGTGTTGCGATTCTTTGAGACACGGCCTGATGATCGCGAGGTGAATAAAAATAAAAATACTGAACAAATAATGGGATCATTCAAGCAGAAATGCCCAATTTCATTGTTTAAACAATGGAAATTGGATCATTTCTGCTTAAACGACTCAAATAAAATTGCTTTTAGCCAGGTTTTTATCGATATTGTCATTGCTAACCAATACTGCATGAAATAATTAAAAAATAAATTAGCCCTTAATCCCAGTAATATCGACGATTCTGCAACTAAGTCCGGAGGAAACACGAAACCTTAAAGAAAATGCGTTGAATAGTGTGGCAACAAATCCTGTTGTTTTGGGATTTGGTGTATTATAATCAAGAGACAATATCTTTACCGTATTTTTATAATTTATAATTTTATTTTTATATATTTCATCTAGATAATAATCGTAACAAATGTAAATACATTATAGAACATATGTATTTTAATTATCCAATCCTGTATATTCTATATCGGTATAATTGCCATTTTATATTGCCTTAAAAAAGTTCCCTCATATCTATTAATAAGTTTGTCAATAAAGTACCAATTACTCGAATCAAACTAACCGAGTTAATGTCCAAATCGAATATTTCGTATCTTGTGATTTGATTGGTTTAGATGGTGAAAATGAATCATGATGAAATCAGAATTAAAGCAGGTCGCGCAGATCATTTGGCCAGAATTATCATAAATCTCTTATAATAAAAGCGTATCATAATCATAATCCCCACATACCAAAGATTAAAAATGCAACAAAACAAGTCTTTAAAATACGGATTAAATCTGAGTGCTAATAAAAAGCAAACCTTAACTGGAATAAAACGACCTTTAGCCTTTGATGACGATGATGGTGATGATGATGATGGCAAAGTGCAAAAAGACATCCAACGAGTAAATCGAAAAATAGCGCAAAATCCAACGGTTAGTAAATATGTTCAGGAGCAATATGAACAAGCTCTCTCAGAAGACCCAACAGTATTTGCATATGATGAGGTCTATGATAACATGAAAAGTGCGGAACGAAGAAAAGCTGAAATACTTAAAGGACCAGAACCTGAGGCTAGGAAGGTATCTTCTTCGAATAAACACGTTCGTTCTTTTCATGGATTCATTCGTGGATTGATAATTAAATTAAATTAATTCAATTCAGGCAAAATATGTTGATAAATTTTTAAAAGCTGCAGAAATTCGGAAACGTGATTTGGCCCTTGCGCAAGAGCGTAAAATACAAAAAGAAAGAGAAGCTGAAGGCAATGAGTTCGAAGACAAGGAAACATTTGTTACTTCAGCGTATGGATCATTTTTATTACAGGAGTTGTATTCACGAATCTAATTTGATTTTTTATCCAATGCTAATCAATTTCTTTGCGGTTAACTACATTTAGTTATAAGGCACAGGCTGAAGAGTTAAAGAAATTGGAAGAAGAAGATAAAAAGAAAGGTAAGATTTCATTTAATTGTTTTTTTTCTCGTCTCGATCATCTTATTATCAATCAGCTTATTTTCGGCTTTTCTGAATTCAGAGACAGAGCAGAAAAAAGGAAAACACATGACAAGTTTTTATCGACAATTACTCGATCAGACTGATTCAGCAAAAACTGAAGCCATTAAGGCCAGTCGAGCGTCGCTTACAACAAAACAAAGCATAGAAGAAGACACAAACACACTCTCTCAAAAATCAGATAAAGAATTAGCAGAATTAGCGTTGGCCGCTGGGAAAGAGGTGATACTGAATGCAGACGAGAAAATCGTGGACAAACGACAACTTTTGTCTGCGGGATTAAATATCCCACAGAAAAAGAAGACTCCGGAAGCTCAAGCTGATCATGGAACAAACAATATTAATAGATATAGTCGTTATTCGTCTGGTCGTGGTGGACCATCTTATGATAGGGAAGAAATAAAGCATCGAGAGAGACAGAGCCGTGAATTAGAGAGACAAATACTGGAGACACAAAGAAAAGCTGAAGAGGAACAGAAAGCAAAGGATGAACAATTGATCCAAAAACTATCACAAAAGAAAGATGAAAAGGCGATATCTGATGCGCGTGAAAGATATATGGCTAGGAAAAAGCAGCGGAAAGATTCATAATTTGTGTTATCATTTTGTACATTATGCAAATTAATTAATTCACTTTTCTCCGAGATGGTATTAACCGTATATCTACTCGAAGACAAAATGACTACGACAAAGATTCATGAAAAGCAGCTCGCTGCATCAACTAGTAAATAAATTTACAAACAATTTAATTCGGTTAATATTGAGAAACGGGCCTATACTTCAATAATTTGGTTCTTGTGATGATCAAAGTGTCGTAAAGGCTTGGAAAATAGCAAAGAATGATAAAAAAAAATGAAAGTCATTTTTTGAATGAAAATTATTGAATTGAAAACAACAACTAGGTTCTGTCTCTATTATAGTTAGCATACTCGGTTCACTCATCAATAATAAATCCCACTGTGTATTTATTGTATATGTAAAAAGTGCGTCAATAAGTAATAGGTGTATAATGTTATATATATATATAAAAGTTAAAATATGTACAAATGTTTTACAACAATAATGAAAAAGGAGAAGCGAGTGAATGATGTATCCTCGAACCTTATGAAAAAAAAAAAGAAAAATTGATCCAAGAAATAAAGATGCAAATATAAAGAAAACCCAAGAAATTATCTAACTTTATGAACGATACATCGTTCACCACCGACTCCTTCATCGAAAGACAAAGAATATTCACATCTCAATATCGCCCATCACATATTCTTCGTATGGCATGGCCCTAATTTTTTTTTTAATAATTAATGGTTAGCAAAGTTCGATAAAAAATAAAAATTAAGAAAATGAATAAGTACCGGCTAATTAGTTCAGAATCGCTACTAGAGCCACTTAATGATTCGTCCTCCTGAAGTGGAGCATTCACACTAAGGAAATAGTAATTATTGGATTTCAATTAATTTGATCGATTGATTGACCATTTAATTGATTGAGAAATAAAAATTTCACCTTAACCCTCGCACCGTAAAGTACAAAATTCGTTTCATTTTTTTATTATAGAAGAAGAAATTAAATGACCATCTATATTGAGCAGCAAGAAATAAATTAATTGTTTTCGTACTCGCATGAAATGATAAGTTTTTTTTAAGAAATCTCTTACATTGCTCCTTCTTCAGTATTTGGATCGGAATCCATATCAGGATCAAAAGAATACACGTCACATTCTTCCAAGTCTATAATATCATCAACAATCTTCCAGAGATTTAAATCGGTGACTATCCATCCGTGTTGTAGATTGAAGAGAGTGTTGTTTATGTAATTACAGACATTAGATATTGACGGTTGTTTGACAAACTGTTCCGGTTTTACATCGCTAATAATTTATTTGTTTGTTTTTTTTATATTTATTTAATTTATCTATGAATTTATTTTCTATCGTGTTCGTTTGATGATAACTTACGAAAAATCATAATCAGGATAAGAAGCGTTCAGAGTGGCGATCAGGTTGAACAAAGTCCTTCGTGTGGACGTTTGGTTCATGGGACCGAACGGTGATATTATATCATTTAAATTATTTTCAGGCGAGACACTCGAAGAAAAGTTTGATATTTCTTCATTGTAACGACCCTCAAGATATTTGTATAACTTTTTGTCAGCGCCTGCTACTTTACCTACATTTAGGGCGAGTTGCAAAAAAAAGTTTGTGACGCCTTAAAAAATATGACTCACGACAAACACTCCACTACTGCGGATAATAATAAAATAAAAATAGTAAGTAAACAATAAATAGGAACTTACACGAATAGGGTTCTATACGACCAAACACTTTACATTCCGGTGTGTCAAACACGAGAGCACTATTTATATGGTCGAGTGCTGCAACTTCGAGAAACTTCATCTTACAACAACCAAATATTATGAGATATTATATATTTTAACATATAATTACGTATTGTTGTATTTGTTCAAGGAAACTTGAGACTAAAAGTATATAATAGCTGTATTTAAACGAGAAGACTCTTTAAACGAAATATATTCTCACACTTTGGAATATGCGAAATAACGATAAATAAATATGTTGATATAATTATCATTTTATAACAGTGGGAGTCTTTAATGTTTTTAAATGCATGCTGTTTCATTTTTTACCAATTAGGGATCAAGTGTTGGATTAATTGTATCGCAAGAGCACCATCGTTGTTTTGTATAAGTTCATGATAGGATGCAGATTTTGTCACAAGACGGACGTGAAAAATAATGGCGTCATTGATGATGATCTGGGAACATTTTCATCATAAAAAAAATAATTTCTTGAATTAAGTATATTTTTTTATTGCTCGATTCTTCGTATGGCAAAGGTAATATTCACAGGGAGGAATTATAAATTACTCTTTGATCAAATGAAATGCCGCAAAAATATAATAATATCTGAATTTACTACATTTTTTAACAAAAAGCTTATTGGGACTCATAATGGGAATTTTCACTGGTAATTATATTTATCCCAGCATGAATTTGATTAATTATGCAAGATTTCAGTGTTATGATAATTATACCGAATCTGGTAATCCACTATAGTGACGAAGCATTAGCGGTATTTATGCTTCGTCAGACGCAAACTTATAAGGATTCAAGTATGTTATATATATTTACTTTCTTCGATCTTTTTCTGGATGACATCAAGCCGCTTAAAATAAATATACACGATAAAAGCAATAATACGTACACGCGATCAACAAAAACTTGACGAGTGCGATATTGTGGTGGATGTAGGTGGCGTTTATGATCCAGAAAAGAACCGGTATGATCATCATCAGGTATTTATTTGAAGATTCTATCAAGCTAGTTAATACATAAAGAATTTTTTTTTTCTCATGAATTTTTAATCATAAATATCAAGCGAGGATTCTTTGAGACATTTAGTCCGCAACATTCCATCAAATTAAGTAGTGCTGGATTAATATACAAGTACAGTAATAGTGAAATCAATTCAAGTATTTCTTGATTTTATTTTTTTTTTGCCTAAGCTTAACCTTTTTATTAATTAATTCATTATAGACATTTTGGCAAGGAAATAATTGGAACACGGTTAAACTTAAATCCCGCAGACCCAAAACTAGAACTTTTATATCAAAAAGCCTATGAAGATCTTATAGAAGGATTAGATGGTTAGTGGATTTTTTAATTCTAACATGTATTTATAATATATTAAACTAATAAAATTATTAGCGCAAGATAATGGAATTAATCGATACCCGGAGGAATGTCAAGCAAAATATAAAGATTTGACTAATCTACCACAACAAGTTGCGAGATTGAATCCATGGTGGAATACTGAGAATCCTGACATTGATGTAGGTTGTTTATTGTTAATGTTCTTATATTGTGAGTGGGAAGCCTATGTTAATTTTTTTAAATTTTCTTAGGGTCAATTCTATAAGGCCGTAGAATTAACCGGCTCAGAATTTTACAATCTTATAGATTATTTAGGGCTTGCCTGGCTTCCAGCACGTGAGATAGTGATGAAAGCATTCGAGAAGAGATTCGAGATTGATAAAAGTGGTAGGATATTAGTATTGGATATGTTTTGTCCTTGGAAGGTATTGTCTCTTTATTACTTGACCATTTTCCTTTTTTTTTTTTGATAATTCTACTTTATTCATTTTTGTTGAATGACATATAGGCGCATTTACTTGATCTTGAAAAAGAAAAGAATATTGCAAATGATGAGAACATACTTTATGTATTGTATCCTGATGATTCGGAAAATTGGCGAGTACAATGCGTTCCTGTTACTTTAGAAGCTTTTAACTCTAGAAAACCGTTACCTGAAGAGTAAGTACTCCTCTGAGAATATTCGATCTAATTGAACGAATTAAATATCCTATTCTTTTATTTATAATTTCTTATTATAAATTTTAGGTGGCTTGGATTAAGAGACGCCGAGTTATCAGAAAAAGCGAAGATCGAGGTAATATCAGATAAATAATTTAAATAACTTAATTAAGCTAATACATGACATGTATAATTTTATAGGAATGTATTTTCGTTCATATGTCAGGGTAAGAGAAATAATTTGAACCTGTTATCCTAATGAAAAAATTATAATTTAATAAATAAGCTGAATTTGTTTTATAGATTTATTGGAGGTAACAAAACGAAGGATGGCGCTTTGGAGATGGCCAAAAAAGCATTAAAGTCGTAATCGCGGAAAGATGATAACAAGTTCCATGGAAGCCATTGATTATTCATTGCCAATTAAATGTAATTTATTATAAAACGGAATTGTTATGCTGATCTTGAACATTGTCGACAGCGTCCCGCGCCTCTTTACATCGCAAATCGTCAATCACACATTTCGTATTTTATTTCAATTAGAATGAATTTAATTGTAACTTAAAAAAAAATAAAATACAGATTAATGCAAAATTTTGCATTACTTAGAACATCAGACTTCTTACTTTTTAGTAGCCAATCGAATAGCAAGATCATGTATCGTGTGAGTACGAATTTCAGCAAACTTTTAATAACTAATTCCAATTGTATAATCTTTTTTTATTTACATCTCTTTTTTCATAAATACAAAACTACTTCAAATTTCTAGTTTTTGATCATAAAAAAATTTAAATTATTAAATTAAGAAATGATTTAATTTATTATTATATTTTAATAAAAGTTTGCATATATTGATTTAAAAATTTTAATATATAATAATAATGAAATTAATAAAGAAATAAAACTTATTATGAATGTACTTTTATAATTATGAGTATATATTTTTTAAATGTTTGTTGTTAATAATTCATTAGAAGTAATGTTTTAATTTTTATATTTATTAATTTAATTTTAAAGTATCAAGTATTATTATTAAGTTAGAATTATTTCTTAATTTTTACAAGTTGATATAATATTTATATTCTTGAAAATTTAGAGTTTTAGATAAATAAACAAGTTCAAAACTAGAAGCAAAATATATAGTATCACTAAAAGAATATAAAAGAAAGAATAAAATATATAATATTACTTAATTTATATAAATAAAATATTAATTTAATAGTTATTTAAATTTAAGTTATATTTTTTATTAAAAGAAAATTATAATAACTTATCTTTCTTTATTATAATATATAATTCTTTTATTTTATATTATTATTTTATATAATTTTTATATAATATTTTATATATACATATATATATATTAAGTATTATTAATATAAATATTCTTTTAATAATATTTAAATAAATAGATATCATAATATAATTATATTATAATGTCTTAATCTAGATTAAAGATGTTATCTCAATTAATTATAACTTATAATAATTAATTAGAGAATTGTGATTAATTATAATAGTTAATCAAAGAATTATGATTAAGTTGTAATGTTATTTTTAGTCTAAATCATATATAATGATAGAATTATATATATTTTATTATTTAAGTAATGATTAATTTATAAATTTATTATTATACTTAAATATTTATGATTTATAAAAAATATAATAATGAATTTATATTTATATTATTATATTTAAATATTTACAATCTATAAAAAATATAATAATATATTTATATATTCTTTAAAAAATTAAATTTAATATTAATAAATTTTAATTATTTATATAAATTTTTATATATTAATTTAATATTTCTAATTAATTTTATTATAAAAAATATCTAATTTAGATAATTATAATATTCTATTTTAATTATTTTATATTTTTTATTAATTTAATAATTATAATTAATTTTTATTATTAGATTATATATAAATTATTAAATTTTAAGTTGATTTCATTATGAATTTAATATTATTTATAAGTCAAATAATTAAAATATATATTATCTAATATATTATATATATATTATTAAGTATATTATATATACATATATATATTATTAAGTATATTATATATACATATTATTAAATATACTAGTAAATATATATTATATAATTATTATTAAATATATTATATATACTATATCTTAAAGAGTTATCTTTAATATATCATATTCTTATTATCAAATATAATATAATTTTACTTTAATTTTAACTTAAAGATGATATTTTAACTTATGATAGTTAATCAGAAAATTATAATTTAATTATAATAATCAATCAGAGAATTATAATTAGATTATAACTAATTACAATATTATTTTTAATTTTAACTAGTTCTAATAATAAGATATATATTTATTTATCTATCTAACTATAAATTATATTTTATAATTATTATTTTAAAATATATTTAAAATAAATTTATTTACATTTTAATAAAAATCTATTTTAATTTTATTTTAGTAAAAAAAATAGATTTAATATAAAAAAAAGCTTTAAAAATTTTTTTATATTTATTATAATTATTCTAATAAAAATAATAATTTAAAAAAAATAAAATTTATCTACTAATATATATATAATATATTATTATTATAATAATATAAATTTCTTTAATTTCATAATTTTTAGAAATTAAACTTTTTAGTTAATTAATAATTTAATAGAAAATATGTAACTTAGAATAATTTAATTAGTATATTAATTAATTTTAATTATATATTAACTATAATTTAACTTTACTTTAGTAATATTTCAAAATTATAAATATATAATTAACTTAAAATTAGCTATAATTCAAAAATAATTTAATTATATTTCAAAAATAATTCAGAAATAAATCTTTTTATTTTTTTTTATTTATATTAATTATCTTTTTTTATAAAATATTTATCTTAGTTTATTATTTATTATTTAATTTTAATTTTGTTATAATTTTATTTATTAATTTATAATTTATTACTTAATTCTTACTTATATTTATAAATATATATTATTACAATTTTAAGATTATACATATGTAATTATTTTAAAATGATAATAGTAACTGTGTTCATGGTAATTAATAACTTTTATAGTCTTTGAGAGATTATATAACTAATTATTCTTTTAATAAGATGATATGTACGAGATTTACTTCTAATAAAAATATGATTATCTTCTTAATAAGATAATTTATATGTATTTTACTTATAACAAAAATACAATTATCTTTCCAATAAGATAATATACATGAATTTACTTCTAACAAAATGCTCTCTCAATAGAGTAAGAAGAAAATAGGATAAGATATAAGATAAAATATATGTGTTTATTAAAGAAAAATACTAATTAACTACTCTTAACTTAGTAGTAATTAC